TCTATCTATCTATCTATCTATCTATCTATCTCTGTCTGTCTGTCTGTCTGTCTGTCTGTCATGTAATTTTTGTAAGATCTATCCTGTCGCGTCACTAAAAGCGCTTCTTTCTCGCCTCGGTTCAGCGTTTATAAATAAATTCGCTGATTTATCCTTGAATTCCATTTTTTTTGCGATTTGATTCGCACCGGAATCGAGACTTTATGATGTCAGCTGACATGTTCATTCCAGTGATGGTTTACCGGACAGTGTGAAGATTTAGCGGTGCTGTCATTAAGTTCTCGGTATCCGTAGATGAAGGGAAGCTAAAACCAGGATTTTCTCCCGCGAGACTCGCTTTTCTTGTCAAAACCATCAGCTTCTCCGACGCGTCGCGGATCAGCTGGCAGGCGGCCAATGAGCAGCGAGCGCACGGGAGAGCACGCGCTTGAAAAGCGTCTACAGCTGTTCCTCTCCCGCAGAATCAAAACAAAGATCACCAGCTCACAGGCACTTGCTCATGTGCGCCATTCTGCATCAAGTAAGTCAGCATATCGTGTATAATCTGAGCTTTACCACAGGTATAGAGCAAATCAAATAATCATGATTTGGGAAGTAGAGTTTGACTATTGTGTGTTTGTTTTGTCATTTTAAAGTTTTACATTTTCAGCCTGCTGCTGTTGACAGTGTGTGATAACACCCAGGTTTAACATCCTGTGTTTGCTGCATCCTTTGATGTATTTTTGCAATATGGTGCACCTTAAAAAGAGGCTGTTTTTGCGGCCAGAAACTTTAGTCTGTAGTATGAAATGTCATATATGTTAAAAGGTTCTATGGTGATTTTTATTTTTATTTTGTAGTTATGCTGTATCTGGAGGTTCAGAAAGCCGAAATTCACATTCATATTTAGTTAGTCAGTTAGTGTTTCAAATTGTATTCATTCATTAATTACTTATTTATTTATTTATGTTAAATGTGCCATGGTAAACCCATGTTTTTTGTTGTTTCTTTGCAGTACCACTTTTTTTTTTTTTTTTTTTTTTTTTTATTGGACAAGAA